GGAGATGAGCCGCGTGCTGGCGGACCCGAGCGACGACACCAAGGGCTTCTTCGACCCCAACACCCACGAGAACCTCACCTACATGCAGCTGCTGCAACGGGCCACTGTGGACCCTGAAACTGGTCTCTTGTTTCTCCTTGTATCTAATTAATGTTTAATAGATTTGTTTTTCTTCCTTTCTGAATATTTCTTACAACTTAAAGTAATTGTTTGCTTTTGCCTCTGAATGTTCTATTTTTTTTTTAAACTTGACATCCTTTTCCTGGCCAGTCCTTTCTCCTATGTGTTTATGCCTTCTTTGTTTTCTGATTTTGTGTCCATTCATTTGGTTTTCCGTCTCTTTTCTGATTTTTTTGGCATTATTTCTGACAATTTTCATTTATTCCCTTGTGTCCCTCAGTGTTTTTTAGTTGCCTGAGTCTTTGTTTGTAATCCTCCCTTCTTTAGCTGCTTCAGGTAGAATGGAGGTGGGGATTTTTTGGCTCTCTGGGTACACACTGAAGTGCTCCTGCTGATTTGCTGTAGTCCATTTGTTCGTCCTCTACACTGCTTTCAATCAACTGGATGTTTTGCTTGATGTCATTCCCATCCTGTAACATCTCAGATAAGTGTCTGTGGTTGGTGGAGGTCCTGGTGTGTGCGTTGTGTTTCCATCTCACTGTAGTAGACCGTGGATACCAATTTACTTTGATCTCTCAGCCCAGCTTGCTGTTCCACCAAAGTACAACTAGTGACCTGCTTGGATCTGGAGCATTCCCAGGAGTATAATTTGCAAGGGAATGTTTATGTATGGAGAAGTTTCATGTTTGTTTGTTTTTTTACTATTATTAAATAACAGAAGTTTATTTCAGCTCGTATTTCTGAAGGTCAAGGTTGAGAGGCTGCATCCTTGTTACTGGTGGAGTGGTGAGATGGCATAGGACACCATACAGTGACAGGTTGAGAGCAAGAACTCTTTTTTTCCCCCTTAATATTTTCTAGTTGTAGTTGGGCACTTTATTTTGTTTTTTTATTTGTATATGGTGCTGAGATTTGGACCCAGTTCCTCACACATGCAAGGAAGCGTTGTACCGCTGAGCCACAACCCTAGCCTCAAGAACTCTTATTTTCATTTCAGAATTTTGAAGGTTCATCCATAGAACTTTGTGCCTGTAATATAGAAATTAAATAAGAAAATAAGCCATCTCAAATGCAGGCTAGTGTGTAGCACTGTTGCATGGTGGTCACCAGCTGCTATTGGATGGTGCTCTTGGAAGCACATGCAGATCCAGTTGTTCAAAAAAGAGCCACAACTGTGGGAGCCAGGGGTGGAGAGGGTCGGCCTCAGTCTCCCCTGCACTCAGCACATGGAACAGGAGAGCCTGTGCTGCCTCTTCTCCTGCAGAGGACAGGAGCACACCATCTGGCAGGTTTCTACATGTGGTTTCCTTGTGCTTTTCCCATCTGGAATTTGCTCAAGTTCTTGATTGCATGGAATTTGTATCCTTCACCAATTTAGAAAGTTTTCAGCCATTATTTCTTCAAAACCTTTTCCTAGTCATATCTTTTCTTCTTCTAGAACTTCAAATACACAGATGTTAGTTGTCTTGATGTCTCACAACATCAGAGACAAGGTCACTGTATCTTTTTTTTCAAATTTTTTTCTGTGACATGTCTCAAGTTGGATAATTTTTCACATTCTATTTCTAGTTTGCTGAGTCTGTCCTCTGTGAATGCCATCTTCTTGTTGAGCTGAGTTTTTCACTCCGAACATTTTCATGTGGTTTCTTCATATTTTCTATTTCTCTGCTGAGTCATCTGTCTTCTCACTCATTTCTAGAGTGTTTTCTTTCTCTTCTGGAGCATGGTGAGAATCTGTGATGTGTTTTCCAATGTATGGGCCATGGTGATTCTGGTGATTGTTGATGGACTTTGCTTTAGAGACTTGCCTATCTTTTCAGACCTTGGGATGCTGAGTCCTTTTTGATGGATCATCTTGATTTGTTATGATTCATAATCTGATGTGGGCTCTTAAAATCCTCCTGAGAACACGAGCTTTCTGTTTGGGTTGGCTCTTGTCATGGTCAGGTTCAAGCTGAAGTCTTGTCCACCTTCTGTTGTTGGAGGTCTCAGCTCAATGCCAGTCCTGTCTTCAGAGCTTTCGCTGTGAATGTGGGGTTCGCTCAGCTTAGGAGTGAGCCCCAGGTTTGGGTGGGGTCTGTGTGCTGAGCACAGGCCCCTCCTCCAGCTGTCGGCCTTGCCCTTCCCTCACGGGCTGGCTCTCCAGTCAGAAGGCCAGGGCCTCTCCGTGTTTTCATTCCCTGCTCTGGAAGGCAGTTCCAAACAACCAGGGTCCTGTTCAGGACAAAGAGGCCAGAAAAAAAGAAGGGGAAGAGGAAAGGGCTCTGCAAACACATGCTGTGGCCCCCAGGGCTGTGCTGGGCTCCTGTCCACCAAGCTGGAGCTTTCGGGGCTTTTGGGTGCCCATAATGCACCTGCACTGACACCCCAGGGTTTCATCGCTGTAACCAAAATACAGGACAAGAAAAACTTAGAGAAGGAAACATTTTGGGCTCCTGGTTTCAGTGGCCTCAGTCCATGGTTGGCCAACTCTGTTGCTCTGAGCCTGAGGTGAGGCAGACATCATGGCAGAAGGACATCATGGAGGACAGTTTCTCAGCTTGTGGCAGCCAGGAAACCAAGAGAGAGAGCAAGTGAGGGTCCTGAACCAGATACAGTCCCCAAGGGCACATCCCCCAGTGACTTCCTTCACCATGCCCCACCTGCCTACAGTACCATGCAATCACCCACAGAAATCATCCATCCAATGGATGAATCCACTGACGAGGTTACAGCCTCCGTTATCTAATCTTGTCCCTTCTGAATGTTCCTGCATCTAACATGTAAGTCCTGTGAGGGACATTTTTAGGTCCCAACCATAATAACCCACAACTCTAGCGGGCAAGGCAAAAGAGCAAGTCTCTCAGGATGCTGGCTCTCCTTGCTCTCTGTGTGGAGACTGCCCTGTCTTTGGATCAAAGCCACAGAGAGCAGATGAAGGGTCAGCCAACAGGCTCGTCGATCCAGTCATTCTTTAAGTTTTAATACCCCAGTCCAGCGGCCACTGTGGGCTTTCCAGTTCAGAGTAGCTGTCCATATCCTTCCAGAGAGACTTGCTGTGCCTGTTCTGAGTTGGGGGAGGTTGATGGGCCCAGGTTCCCCAGGACGGGACTGGGAACTCACTAGCACCTGACGCCAAGCTGCGCCTTCACACAGCAGTCGGTGTGGGTCGTGAGGGTGCCCGTGGCACCCAGACTGTGGAAGCAGGACAGGGGAGATGTTTTTCTGACACTGGGTTACCGTGGGATGACCTGGGGTGCTGTGCTGCCATGGCCCCCTCTGCTGGCCGTGTGGACGACTTCTAAATGGCAAATGGGTGATGTTTCCTGGGCTGCTCGACCAGGAGTGGGATGGTGGTCAGGTCCTTGTGTTCATCTGAAGGGGGATGGAGAACACCAGACATGGGGTTGGAGAGCCGAAGGGCATAGCAGGCCAGGCAGGAAGCAGCCATACCATGCAGCACACTCACCTCAGTGAGCATGTGCGGCCAGCATGGCAGGGAAGGACACCAGGCCACACTGAGGTGCACCCTTTAGTCCCCACACCTACTGATCAAGCCAGAATGGATCTGAGACCTCTAGGCTCCCTTGACAAAATTTCCATCCTGAACTCCACATCCAAAGGAGTCCTGGGTAAAGGGGAAGGTCCAGGCCGCAGGACCACACTGCTGTATCCAGACCTGACTCCACCCCTTGAGGCCACACTCTGGTTCATCACATGATTTGTTGATGTCTCAGTTTCCTTTTATGTCAAATGGCACAACAGGGGCACTTGTAAGTGTTGTTAGTACAGATGAAATTATGCATGTAAAGCACTTTGGAAGTATTCCAGAAACGTCCCTGGTACCTGGGAGCAGCAGAATGTTGTTTGTTGTTATTTTTAACATCCACATGGCTTTTTTCTTCCTATTTGAATGCCAGACCACCCCATCCAGGCAGGCCAAGGCATCCTTCTAGCTCGAAGTGAATCATCATAGCTGTAGAAAGAACCCAAGAAAAACACACCAGCCCACTTGGAGAGGCTTAGGTCTAGAGCAGATGTCGTGGCCAGGCAGCTGACCTGGGGCGCTGTGACAGCCCCAGGCCCCGCTGCAGGCCAGTGTGGCTTCTGCTGCAGCCCTCTAAGCCTTCAGCATCTACTGCTTTTCTTCTGGGGATAGTCTGTGGGGATCTGGCACCTGGTTTGCCTTTTCATCCCCTGCTCCAGGGCCACAAGGGGTGGTTTCATAAGCCCCCTAGCAGGTGGGGACTCCAAGGGCAGCACGGTGCCCACAGGATCAGAGGGAGCATGTCTTCCCGCCATGCTGAGCCCCTGGAGTTCCCCGGTCACGCAGAAGCTGGCTGAGTGAACCTGCATCCCACACATGGGCGGCAGGCCACACCAGGGCAGAGGATCTGGTCGGCAGTCCACACCTGGGGCAACTTTGGCCACCCTGGCCAGCGGACACAGCGCTTCACTCTGGACCATGAGGAAGCAAGGGCTTCAGGGATCCCCCAAAGGCCTGAAACTCCACAGAGTCTCCCACTTTAAAAAAGATCCCAAGGGCTTCACCCAGGGAGTAAAGCAACCCTCACCCAGACATGCACCTGCTTGGTGGTCTGTGTGGCCTTAAGTCTTCACCAGGTGACACTGACGTCACAAGTGGACAAGATACTCTGAAAGAAGATGCCCCACGTGGCACCTACAGTTCATTCCTATGAATACTTCACAGAGTAGAGCCAGCTGGCGCAGTGGTAGTACCTAGCTAGTGAGGAGGCTGAGATGGGAGGTGCTTGAGCCCCCAAGTTCAAAGCCAGCCTAGGGAGCACTGTGAGATCCCCCACCTCAAAACAAAGAAACAAACAAAATTAAGTACTACCCTGCACGTAATCAGAGAAACCAGGGCACACCCGAGACAGCTCCACAGAAGAACCACCAGAACGGATTAGCAAGCTGTAAGGCAGACCCACAGCCACCCTGATCGCTGTGGCCACCAGGCCAAGTAGTTCTGAAATGTTGCCAGGGAGCTGAAACCCAAACTAGGAGAGATTGTAGACCTGCAGACAGCACAGCAGCAACTCAGTAGGCAGGTCTGACCAGCACGTCAGAAAAGCCGCTGGGCCAGTGGGTGAACACAGGTAGTGCAGGTGGTGCCCTGGAGAGCAGGGTCCCGGGAGACAGGGCAGGAGGAAGGCCAGAGGCCAGCAATCAGCAAGACAGACTCCTTGAAGGAAGGGAGCTAGGAAGTGCACAGAGAAGTCACTGGGAAGGACGGTGGCATGGAATTTTGCCAGACCCGATCAAAGACATTAATGTCCACGTTCGAGTCGCCAAACCCTAGCCATGTCACAGTGAAACCACAGACTCCCAGGGGCCAAGAGAAGGTGTTAAAGGCAGTCAGAAGTCAAGTTGCCTTGGAGGAGCAAGAGGTGGGCTGACAGAGAGTGGGACTCCCCACTGCAGCTGGAAATGAGATGGAGGAGGCTCCCAGGCACCCAAGGGCGGGGCCTCCCTCCCCACACCTCCAGACCCAGATCCTGGAAAGGGAAGCTGCGAATACAGAGCACCTGAGAGGCCTGATCCCCACCTGGAGACAGAGAACATCACCGGCAGGGGCCTGAGAGGACCTGGGCCACAGCTGGCTTCTGTCCCCACTAGTCTATAGGGAGGCCTGCGGGTAAAGCTACAGAACATCACAGAAGTCTTTCTTTTCCTATGTGCCACAATTATCACAAGGTACAGAAAGAAGAGAGTGAAGAGGGGGCTGATGGAGACATGGGGGGCAGGGAGTCCACTTGGGCCTGGATGCAGGGGACACAGAATAACCTCTCAGGCTCTGGCTCACAGCTGTCCTCACCCAACACCCTGCTCTCAGATCCTGTGGGGCCTGTTCTTCTTTATTGCCCGGGTGGTCTCAGAACATGCCACATGCTCCTATGGGCCTTTCCAGAGAGTCCCACAAGGTGGCTCTATACTCTCTGGAGAAGTGGGCTGGGGGTCTGGTCCAGAGGGTAATTATGCCTTTCACAGATATTTGTTTTCTTATACTCCTCCAGAAGCATGATCTGCCCTGTGGTATAAACAGACATTGTGGGCCCTGAGAGCCATGCCTGATAGCTAGGTGGGAGCTGAGACACAGGCAGGGCACGCTTGGCATCTGGTCCACGCCTGGCCCAGGAATTGCTGCAGCCATTGACTTAAGCATGATTTTTCCTTTTATTTCTTTAAAAGTAGCAAATACTTGAATTTTCAAGGGATAGAATTCAGCCCTTAACAGTTACTAAAAAAAAAATATGTTCCTGATCTTTGGAATATTATTGTGAGAAATCGGTAGGTTCTATGTCCCTGTATCCAAGTCCAGTCTGCACTCCTAAGCAGGGACTGTGCATGGGTGTGGAACCTGGAGGTCAGGCCACAGGGCAGACAGAAGGAGGGGCCTCCTGATGATCCACTGACCACTGCTTTCTCCCACTCTGGGATTCCTGGCATCTGGGAGACCTGCTCAAGCCCAGAGAGTCAGGGAACCTTGCACCTGCAGAGGGAAAGAGAGAAGCAGGAGTGCAGAGAGCAGGTCTTTTCCATGCCCTACAGGAGGGGACCGTAAGAAAACCCCAAAGGGGCCACCAGATCTGCAGGATGGAGGAAGAGGAGGAGGTAAGCAGAGAACAGAAGTGGAGGTAGGGGCAGGAGAGTGGTCCAGATCTGGAGCACTGAGGAAGGTCAGCAAGGACATACTTCACCACACCTCTGTGAGCTGCTGGTGGCACAGGACCACTGTGGGGTCACAAGGACAAATGGTTGAGAAGCATGGGTGTGGTTCATCCCTGCATACAGATTGTACTGTGTTATTGTTCTTCCCGCAGAGGGCACTACTGGAGCTTTATCATCTAGGGCTGTTATAGCAAAGCATTACAAATGGCAGCTTGAAACAATGCAGACTTCTTTTCTCCCAGCTCTGGAGGGGATACCACAACCCAGGTGGCAGCAGGGCTGGTCCCTTCTGGAGGCTCTGAGGATGGGTTGGCTCCAGACCCCCTCCAAACTTGAGGCTCTGACAATCCAGGCAATCCTTGGCCTTGGCCTGACCCAAACCCCTTTCTCTGCTCCTCCTTGCCTGGCCGTCTCCCCAGTACCTCTGCCTGGGCCCACCCTTCCTTTCCCTTGTAAGGATGCCACACACTGGAGCCAGGATCTCCCTAGGTCTAGAAGGACCTCATCTCAAGATTCTAAACTTACTATCATCCACCCAGACCCTTCTCCCAGAGGAGGACTTGTTTCCAGGTACCAGGGTTAGGACGCACATAGAACACCTGCATCTGGTTATGGGGCAGAGAAATGGAAGGAAATGCATTGAGATCTGGCTCACTGTTGCCCCCTAGGGAGCTCCCTTGGACCACCAACCTAACCCTGCACCCCTGCCCACCCACATATCTAGGGGACCCACTTGCCAGAGCCCACTGTGCACTAAAGCAATGTCCTTAGCACAACAGAAAGAATAGACACCCTGCCCTCCTGGAGACTGTGTCCCAGCAAGGACCCAGAGAATGAAGCAGAGGTGACAAAACACAGGCACTCCAAGCTGAGCACCATGGGAAGGGCCCAGCAAAGCAGGTACAGGGTGGGGATGTGATGCTGGGCTGGGTGATCAGCATAGGCCTGTCTGAAAGGTGGCATTTGAGTCAAGACCTGAAGAAGTAGACTTGGAGGATCTCTGGGAGGAGGATTTCAGGCAGAGGGCATAGCCAGGGCAACAACCCTGGACAGATTGGCCTGTTGTGTCAATAACCTGTGTGGGGCCGGGGGGCCTGGAGTGGGCTCAGCCAGAGAGGGCAGGAGAAATGAGACCAGGAATCAGGGTCAACTGTGGGGGCCTTCATGGTTAGGACTTGGGCCTTATAGCATGTAAGAAATGGACCACTGGGATGGCCCCAGCACCACCCTCCATGGTCCAGTAATTCACTAGAAGGACTCCCAGGAGTTTGAAAGTTTTTATAATCACAGATGCAATGTATTACAGCAAAGGCTACCTATGAAAACCACAGTGGCAAAGGACTGGTGGGACAGAGCTCAGGGGGGGCCAGGTGTGTGTCCAGTTGTCCTTTTCTAGTGGTCACTGGACAATAGGCACCTCCTCCAGTGGAGGTGTGTGATGGCACATATGAGTGCCACCAGCCTCCTCTAGGATCTCGCTGGGTTCCATCACTTAGGCACAGCTGACTACTTCAGAACTTGCACTTCTGAGGGGCTGGCTTCAGTCTAACACTGCCAGGCTAACACCGTGGCTCAAGGACCTGCCATCAATCACATTGTGCAGGACACTCCCAGAGCCTGGAGGCCATCTCCCGTGCTGCTCCAGTTTCTTTGGGAGGTGCAGGGTTTGACTCTCCAGCCTGCTGACAGTTAGGGTTAGGGTGGATGCTCAGGGCAGGCCATAGGGTTCTCATCAGAACGCTAGAGCTGGGTGGGAGGGGCGCAGAGGGAGCGGCGCTGGTCAGCAGAGTTTGCTGGGGGTTTAAATATAAAAGTGGGCCAGCACTGTTTCCAAAAAGAGAAGGAGAAGAAGAACTAGGATCCTGCAGGTGTGAGAGGGAGGATCTGTGGGGAGGCAGCAGGGTGTTGCGGTGCAGGGAGATTTCAGATGAGAATTCCACAGGGTTGGTGAGAGTCTCCTCCTGGAGAGGGGATACACTTAAGGGGGTGTTCTCCTCCTGGCTCCACTGTTGCAGACGAGCTTACAGTGGAAAGAGGAGGGGCATGTTTGGAGAAAAGAGAAAATTGGCATCTTGGAAGGTAGGCTTGTGCACTGAAAGGGAAGCAGGAAATTGGGGGCCGGTGAGAGATTTGTAGTCATGAATTAAATTCCAACCTGTTGGTGTGCTGGTGTATTATCAGCCACCTTCAGTGGCCTTCCTCCGGGTTCCCTTTAGTACAGGCGGGGTGAGCCGACCTCACTTCTGAGTCTGTGGGCCTTCCCCGCACACGCTGGGGGCAACCGGGAGCAAAGCTGACAATGTTCGGCCCATCACAGGCGTAGCTGGGGGATGTGCGTGGCCGGAGCCGGGTGCGGATGCTGTGCCGGAGGAAGAGCTGAGGCATAATGCGTGCAGGGGCGGATCTCGGAGCGCCTGGTCTAGACCACAGGGGTCTCCATGCGCGCAGGGACGCCCAACGGTGTGGGACTCGCTGGCAGCGGCCTGCGGGTGCCCGGCACCGCGCCGCTC